CTCTGTCCTTGCTTCAGGCCGAAGTCTTCCAAAGGTCTGGGAGAAATCACAACCGCCGTTGGCGTGGCGTTTCCGTCCTCCGTCTCCTATATGCTGTGACTTGCTGCAGAGCTCGCCGTTTTACCCTCGCGGCCCTGCTGTGAGGCTGCAGGGTGGCCGTCGGCTTCTTTACTTTGTAGCTTAGGAAACAGGCCTAGAAAGGTCACTGCTTTGCCAGTGTCTCGGGAGCAGTCTGGACTTATTTTTTTCAGCTGTTACTTATATTTGTATTTTATCCTCAAAGAAATTTACCTGGTGCAAGATGCGTAGGTGGCTGGGTGCATGTCCCTCTGTCTCGTGACTCCAAAATGACAGGTCTCCTAGTGATTCTCGCCTTCAACTCGCTCTCACCGACTGCAGGCTGTGTTGATGTCTCTCAGAGAGACACAGGACGGATTTCCCTAGAAGTTCAAGTGATCGGAAACGTACCTGATCTGCCATTCGCATCCTTTTAGCCGAGAGCATTCTTTTTTCATTTATTAATGCACTGTGCAGTGGTAGGACTCCTAGTGACACTTGTAACTGTGCGTAGAAGTTTACATAGTCGCAGGTCAGCAGGTGGCATGGAGGTTAAGGCGGTTGGATCCCACATGGCCGACCATGGTTCGACTCTCAGACCTGTGGCTTGAAAGCTACTCCAGGCCTGATTGCGTGTGTGCCCAGAATCCCGAGAGGAGACTGGAGGAGAAAGGATTGCAGTGTGGGGTGATCTTTTCTCACTTTCTCTCCTTCTCTCAGGTAAGCACATGTGTCCTATGGCAAACTAAAAAAAGAGAGAGAGAGAGAAAAAATCTGACATAGTCTCTATCCTCGAGGAGTTTAGATCCTCCAGTTGTTATAGAAACAAGGGTGAAATAAAAACCCTAGCTTAGATTGAAAGAATATATTGTGAAACCCTTCAACCATTCCTGGGGGACGCCAGTCTGGGAGAGGAAGGGAGAATACCTGGGCAGCCATGCTCTGAGAGGCCTTGGGGAGGGTGCTGAGGTGCCGAGGGGAGAGGCAGAGAGCAGCCGTGAGCACTAAGGTGCTGGATCCTCCAGCCTGGCTTTCCCGGCCAGTGCCATGTGGAGAGTCTAACCATCTAGTTGAGCCTTTCCATATTTCGGACCCACAAAATTATGAGCAAAATAAAATAATTGTCTTATATCAATAGTTGGCTCTCCCTGCCCATGGGTTCTGCATTAAGGATTCAGTCAACTGTGGATTGACGATAGTTGGAGGGAGAAAAAAACACAATAAAAAAATTAAATTATTTAACAATAAAAAATAATACAAATGAGACAACCGCACAGAGAACAACTCTTCAGATCACCTTGGCACTGTACTGGCGTTAGAAGTCACCGGGAGTGTGCAGAGGAAGGCATTGGTGAGTTCACAGAGTGGAAAATCTGGATGCCTGCAGGGGCACCCACTGCGGGACGTGGTGAAGGCCAGGACCACATGAGAGGCCTGAGTAGACTCAGGGGCAGCCCGAAGGCTGGGTGCAGCGACACACACCTGCCATCCTGGTGAGGCCGGAGGACCCAGCACAAGGCTGGCCTGGGCAGCGTGGTGACACCTGTCTACAAAATGAGCTGTGTGTGGTGGCGAGCGCCTGTGGTCCAGCTAGGGAGCTGAGCCAGGAGGAGGTGAGGGCAAGACCCTGCCTACGAAACAGTGCCAAGCAAGAAGCCCAGCTGACTGGGGCTTCTGTGAGCTTTGGCATCCTCAGGGGATCCTGGAAGCCACCCCACCGAGGGACGACTGCACCAAGGTTTGGGTGGTATTTTTACATAGCAGTCAACAGCTGGGACAACATCTTAGGGAATGATCATTCTCCCTGAGTAAAACTCTCTTTTAAAAAAATTGATTTATTCCATGGGTGAGACAAAGACAGAGAGAGGCAGGGACAGAGACATAGAACTTCCCCACCAAGAGGGGCTTAACGCCACAACCCACCCCTGGCGTCACCCAGTCTGGCTCATGGGCATGGGCATGCCCAGTGTACTGAGGGAGGTGTTTGGACTTGAACTGGCAACCTTCGCCTCTGGGCCCGCCCTGTGGAGGGTCACACCTCGCTGCTGTGCCATCATCTGGCCCTGGTGACCAAAGCTGTCTTTGGAGCCCCAGTCCTTTGCGGTGTTATTTGTAACTTGGAAGGCAAGGGGCAGTCCCCAGCCTTGTAGCTGTCATTTCCCCCAGCTTAAAGGACATAGGAAACCGTGGCAACCGTCTAACGGCGCGTGGAACAGGCCCTTCCCCTCAACCGTGAACGACGGCCGCCTCAGGAGCTCCTTGGAGTGCTCCTCCCTGTTCCCCACATTCTGCTCACCCCGGGAGATCTGGTATCAAGTGGGGGCATGGGGGCATGGGGGCTGCAGGCCCGAAGGTGCTGTAGGGTTGGGGTTCTGTCAAAGGATGGGGTTCATCTTGGTGTTCATTTCCCGCATAAGCTTGGGTTGCCTTTGTGACATTTCTCCTATCTTTCTTTTGACTTTTTGGGGTTATTTTTAGGGAGTGATGAAAACCGAGCTGCGTGTGCAAGTTAACAACGGGCGACTTCTATCGCTTCTTCAAGGCTTCTATTGCTCTTCCCCTCTCTGCCCGCAAACAATAATTCACATAAGACCTGTTGTCTGGCCGAGGCTTGTCCCCTCCTCAGCAAGGGACTTTCTGTTTTGTTGACTTTAGAACAAATTCCGATTTCTGTCTCCAGACTCTGGGGTGCATGGCTCTAGCCTCCTTTGGAAACGTTGCTTAAATACCAGACGGGTACGAGCCCACCGGGTCATTCTTCCGTAGGAGCATTGACCTAGAAGCATTGTTTTTCCATGTTGTTTCAGTGGTTTAAGTGTGTGTGTGTGTGAGCCTATTGGAAGACCTTCTGCCTTCTTCCTTCCTCAGCCTCATTATCCTGAACCCACTGGGCTGGGGCAATCGGGGCCACTGTGTTTCTGAAGCCATCTGGGTGTAATATAACTCACGCGTTCACACCCGGGGTGCGAGGCAACCAGTAAGACGAGGCAGAGCGAGCCCCGCTGTGGGTGTGCTTGCCACCTCTAAGCTTGCTAGCCCTGGGGCTGGTCCTTGAGCCTCAGTTGTGGGGTTCAGAAATATTGGGGGCCAGCAGGTGGTCCAGTAATTAAGGCACTGAACTCCCACATAGTCCCCCACAGTTTGAGTCCCAGACTCAGCAGGTTGAAACTCATCCTGGGTGTGTATGTGTGTGTGCCCAAAATGCTGAGAGGAGAATGGAGAAGGGATTGCAGCGTGACCATCCTTCCTGGGGGGTGATTTCTCACATTCTGTCTTTGTCTCTCCTGTGAGTGCTTGAGCTCTAAAGCAAAAATAGCTCCAAAAAAAAAAAAAAAAGAGTTCTGTAGAGCCCTAGGGAGAGCACGGGACCCATCACTGCTCCCCATAATCGGCAGCACAGTGAGGAGCATGACTGGTCAGAGCGCTGGGGCGCCTAGCCTCTCAGGGTCGGCGATGGGGCCAGGTTAGTGAAGAAAGCGCTCGTTGCAAGGTCACAAAAGCCAGCTGCTCCGAAAACACTTTCCTCAGTGGAGCATGAGCAAAATCTTAAAAAACAATCACACACACACGCAGAGCAAAGTGAGGAGGCCCCATGCTTTTCCTACTGTCGCTGTCTGAACTGGAAGGGGGGTCTCTGCGGAGGAAAGGTGAGAGCATCAATTTCCCTTTCTGTTCTGAAGCAGAACTCCTCAGAGGCCAGGGGCTATAAATGTAAGAGTATAAT